TGACCTTTCCGAAGAGGCGTTTGCTTTGGAACGCATGCTGATTTTCTCTTCAACAATCCAGTACATGAATTCAGCACGAAGTTTCTTTGTATCAATGTAAGCAGCAATAGACACCACTAACCAGGCCATATATGCTAACAAGAAAGCTGCCGCGACGTAAACGTTCCTGAAAGATAATGGTTCTATCAATATTGTTCAGTAAATCGATAAAAGAACAAAGCTGATGTTGAAGAACATTCGAAAAAGACGGATCTTGTAGAATTGATCTACTTGAACGTATATTATCTTCTTCTGGATTATAATCATTTTTTCTATATGACCATGTCAGTTCCCAGACATTTCTATTACATTCCCACTGATTCCATAACAAGTATCGAAGCATAAGCTAGGCGATTACCCTATACAGGAAGCGGCCATGGAGTTCAAACAGGGTTAGGTTCGAGTAGTGAAATCCGCGACATGGTAGTATGAGATCGTAGGGATTCTGAGATGAGTTCTCAATTTCGCAAGGAGAAAATGGTTAATCCAGGAACATTAGGTAAATTAAAAACACGACAGTTATAGGTCAGGCAGTATGTCAGTACAATTCATCGGCCCACATTCTTGAATGTCTGGCACTATCCAAATGCATTATAAGCGGGAAACCAAGTCCGATCAACGGAAGACAGCGTCACTTTCCATTTCACTTGCAACGCTTTACGGATTTTACTTTGGGAGCTTTTAGCAATTCATGAATGAACTCGAGTGGGATGGTATTGAGTAATCGATCATTCGAGGCTAACGAAATTCCTCACGAACAATTCTTGTTGACCAACAAGGAGACATTACTACAACCTTATAGCCTTACAAAAACTGAGTTGAGTGCTTCTTCAGAAGGTCAATTCGATAAATTGTCAGCGTAGTTACCATTTTACAAGAAGTAGTCTGCACAGTCATCAAGAGAGAAATAACTCGCTCCAATTCCAGTACATCTGCCATGCTAAACTCTCTCACACTTACAAGTAATGCGGGAAAATCAGTTCCTTCAGTTACAGTAACCATACAGCGGGTAATACGGCATTTTCAGCTATTTGTCCACCCTCTAGGGCCTATCTTCGTCTCGCTCGTTGGCCAGCCTCCTCCATTCTAGAAACCCGCTGTCTTTAGGACAGACCCTGTGCTACGGGCGCTGTTTTTTCAGTCATCAGTATCGAACCAGCTTTGATCGTTGCTGTGATGAGACGTCACCAGATTTCGATATGTTTTTTCATTGACAGTGAGGCCAAAGCAGCCCTATTTCATTTTAACAATTCTAGATGAATGCAATAGTGGAATTACCTATCTTACCTCAGCTGTGTTCTCATGAGTTCTTTCTCCTCGGCAGATCCGTTCGAGTTCAAATGAATGTACATCATCATAGAAAAACCCATATAAAGTAGGAGTATAAACTAAACAATCTTTAATAATTTTCGTCAACAGAACAGTCAATAACTATCTAGTTTTACTCTCTGAGTTGGTAACTACTGGTTATCGTCTTATTGTTATTTGGCCGGGATGTTATCACAATGCGATAAGAAATGTACAATAAGTTTGAGGAATGTACTCAACATATGCTTTTTAGGAGCTGTGCTCTTGCCCACTGCTTTTGTTAACCCCCCTCCCAATCTTGCTCCAACTCCAAATTCTCCTCGTTCATTGTTCTTTCAACTCTTGATATATCAAGAACCATGCTCCTATTGTATGATGCACCATAGGATAGTAGTGAAATGAAGGGGAGCACGAGGACTGAGGCTTCTTACAATGTTCGAATCTCTTCCCCTCTTCTACATACAACTCATACCCTGAAGGTAACGGCAGGTATTCCTTTCCTTTTCCAATATCTTCAAGCCCTGTAGATTTTAGAATTGGTTCTGCATTCAAAAATAATATTAGAATGTCGGGGTCAAGATGGGCGTTGTCCCGCATATCACAGGAGTTCAGCCGCTATAAACTTCTCGAAAGGTCCGAAGACGAAGTTATCAAAGGACAACTAGCTATAGGGATTCTATATGGTTCATTGGATCTTTTGTATTTCCCAGTTCTTAATGATGCGGATTTTATGAAATGTCAAAGAGGGCGTTTTTAAGATGTGAGGGGGTGACGGGGGAGTTTTGGTTGAGTTGCAGATGAGCACGATTATCAGCATGTCTTCGTGTGGATCCCATTCCCGTTTGATGCAAAATCTTCTACACTGAAACCACTAGGATTACATGAGAACAATGCCAGTTAATGTCAATGTCAGTGGTTCTTCTGAACATGGCAACCGACAAATAGCTGAAACATTTGTAGGAAATTCACGTCTTGACACAACCGATTTCTCACAAGAATGATAGATGATGGGAACATGTTGTTTATCGTTGATCGATAAACATCAATCAATATCGATCCTCCGCTACTTACCAAAAGACACTAGCTCATAGACTCAAAGATATTCGCTCTGTAAACTTTAGCGGCCAAAATAGCCAAAAATCTCAGCATCAAAGCGTTTCTATTTTATCACAAAATTTCCAATATAGTCAAGATATCCAGTGAAATCTTAAAAAAACGAAAAGGACGAACTCACAAAGCTAATAAATCCGTCAACAATGAATGGTCGAATATATGAAGGTCGGCAGTTGTAGTGGCCATACAGGGCCAAGCCGGTCATGATTATATGTAGTATTGAGAATAGCAGCACTGGAAAGGGGATTGCTTTAAACTCGTTTCTCAAAGGTTGATTGAAACGAGGGCAGAAATTTCAAACGAATCACTCTGACCTCATGATCTCTGGGTCTGAGCTCTTAGGCATCGAATTATACGTTCTTTAGAAAGCCTCAATTTTTTTTCACACCGAGCGCAGATTTGCGGCGCAAATCTTCGAATGAACAGAAAAGGAGGCAGCACTGGGTGAAATTCCTCAAGATTTGATCCAAAGCATCTCCCAAGCTGTTTGTAGAAAATTTTCCATTGGACTGTCATCCCCTCAACCGTATTCCATTCTAGGCATGATGCATATCAGCTGGATTTGAAGGTGTAGCCCTTCCAAAACTATCCAGCTTCTACATATAAGTCGAGGACTCGTCGCATTTGTGAGAGGCTTAATCCTAGTCTTTATGAAGGCTTCCTGACTCGGAAAGGCTTCCCAATCTGTACGGCATTAACAGGAACGCCGTTGTACAGAAAAACGCTACCACCTTTCCCATAGTGCATGGCAAGGAAACTGTCTTTTAAGGTTGAAGGACTACGATTCTTGATGCCGAAAAAGCTTGTTTTGGAAGATACTGTGCATTTGACTTCCATTCAGATTCCGGTGCTGTATGAATTTGTATTAGGCCTACATAGGCAATGAATTGTGGGTGCCAGTAGAGTATATGACAGTGATTCCATCCGCCATCGTTCATCCTTCGTCCAAAGCTTGGTTGATCTTGAGGAGTAATGATCCGTAGTTTGATGGCAGTATGGCACCCGTCGTAGCCCGCAGAAAAAAAAATGCTTTTTTTTTCATTTACTGGCTGCGTATAGCAAAACTTGCTCAGAAAATTACTGAATTTAGACTGACATAGGTTCGCTGTCTTTTCCCGACCAAATACTGTGACACACTGCAAAGGGCGACAAGAAACGTCCTGATTTGTTTTGTTGTTTCGGCTTGATAGTTCTTCTTCCAAAGATTTCTGCCCATATGCTTAGTCACAGACGCTTACTGACCCTCTCCGCCAGAATGTATGAACAACGTTCCTTGAAATTTTCTTGCCTGTCGAAAGTTTACCGGTGCACCATTTGTGAGATTGAGAAGTTATTCTAAAGGACCACCTAAGTGATACTTGCAAGTCTTAATTATATGCGTATATTGCTTGCGTCAGTATTACGTCGGCACCTAATCCAGAAGCTAATAGGCGCGTGGGAATGGCTGATGGATTAGCCTGTTAATCGGGCTACATCCGATATGAGTTTTTCTGATTCATATCAGCACCTGGCTCCAATGAATGCAAGAAATGCTCAAGGTTTGCCCATAGGTCGCTGTCCAACGAATCCCGCTCGTATATAGGGCCCGTCGTGATCACTTTCAGTTCTAATTGTGCGAAGTCAACACCCAACAGTCTTTCATACAATCCACAGCAGAAACTGATTATCGCTTTGGGAAGGATGGGATTTGAGAAGATTTCAGAAGGAGAAAGGCTGCTGGCACTTTCCGCAAACTCACCTGACACGTAGACGGCAAGGCGCAAGCGACTGGTGAGATTGTTGTTGATGAAATAGGCGCAAATGGATTCCAGAAGGCGAATGCGCACCTTCTCCGACATATGATGGGAGAATGACGATTCCAATTCAGAGACAACTGAAAAAATGCGAGAAATAACGGTTAGATCCTGTTGCAGAAAGTCTATTCGGTAAGACTCACCTTTGTAGAGCATGCAAGGATTGATAAAGGTAAAAAGAACTGCAAAGAATGCGGACAGTATTCGCATAGTTAGTGGAAATGCATCTTGTATGGCGAAGGATCTGCAAGATTTACGTAAAGGAAGCTTTGTACGGTTTAATTGTATTGTACGAATTGCGAATTTTCTCGAACGATCACTAAACGAATCAAAAGACAGAGAGAATAGAATGACAAGCGGTTATATTACAATAGTACAAGTTTTCTGACTTCGCTACGGGTCAGGCTTTCCTATATTCAAAGCCTATAACTTAGAAGGATCAGAGAATTCAGTAGGAGGGAGGAGTGAGCTCTGATTTGAGTTGATACTGAAAACTTTCTCTGCTAATGAAATATGTGTGCGGAGAAAAACACAGGGAGCTTTGAAATTATCTCGAGATATTCGGTACATTAGACAGTTCTTTCCCGGACCGTGATAAACCTCTGTCTAGGCGACACTTCTCGTGCCGCACATTGAACGAGCTTCCAAAACTAGGGAGACCATAGTCTAATAGAACCCTAAATCGGTCCAGTGAAGAGCAAAACAAATGAATCTCCGAAAAACTAAAAATTAGAGTTCACAGCAGGAATGGGCTGGAAAGAACAGTGAAGATCATAGCTAGGAGATGATATGGCAGAACCGGATTTGTTGCATATGCATAATGTAGCCACCAAGCTTTGCCATTCAAGAGTGGCAGTGATTTGTCTGTTCCATTTCTGAACAGGTGAATAGCAAACTATCTGATTTCTTGGAGTGTTTCCCGCTAGTTTCTCATAATTTTTTTTTCACAGCAATCCGCAAGCCCATCAAATAACCTATCTCTTGATCTCAAACCCCTTATTGACTGAGTCGTTCAGTTATCAAAGCCAAAATAGAAAAGTTTGAACTCTAGTTAGCGTATAATTGATATTTGGGGAAGCTTGCTTTTCATCAGATGAAATAGGTTGTTGGGAATCTTTTAATCACTAACTCTCATTTCAAAGTCTTTATTCTAGAAGTTGAGGACTGAAGAAGGAAAATGGTGGCTACTTATCTTATATCATCAGCATATTTAGTAAGCTGTGCTTGTTGGAGTTGTTCATCGATTTAAGATTTGGGAAATCGTTTTTTTTTTTTTGACAGAACCATTTAGGAATATTTGTTTGTTTGACTATAGAATTTTCTCGAAATCTCTCCTGACGATTCTCTTGGACTCGACATCAGTCGCTCTACACCAAGAAGGGTAATAATGACCACTAATGGTAGGGTAGTAATGACCACTCGGCACGGCGATTTCTCATTACCGAACTGGATATGATGTTTGGTTCCGGTAATTCTACCTGCTGACAAGTTTAGCGCAACATTACACAGAAGTTAGTATAACACTAAAGCAATCGAAATGAAATCCATAAGTGTTCCCTGGAGCTTATAAAATGAAGAGAAGCTTTATGGCAAAGGATATGTGTGTATCGCGACTGACAATTAAATTTGAGCTAATTTAGATTGCTAGTAACTCGAGCCTCTGAAAAATAACTACTGGCAGTATGAACCTAAGGGAGGCGTGTTACAGATAAGAGCAGCATTTATACGATCTCTGAAAGCTGCCTCTCCATAAATGATAACGTTAATGAAATGGACGGGCGCTCAGATTTTAGAACTGCCTCATAAGACATGGGCCCGCCCCATCCAAGTTTCAATCGGGTAGACATCTAACGACAACGGCTACTCGGACGTAGTCGGTTAGCCTGAGAGTGGGAAGCAGGGCAGCAAAGAGTGGTTAAGTGGATCTTTGAAGATTAAAGTTCTCTTACACTGATTAATCTTGTATTGGGGGATGAACCAGCATTCGACCCCACTCAGAATCTTCGTGGCATATCGAATGCGTATGGAGCCTACATAATGACTTGCATGACCAGCCGATGTTCATCACTGCTTTTATAGACGAGTCTTCTGAAAAGTAGAGGACCACGATTGGATGGGAAGCTTAGTTTTTCCGAGCAGATATCGGTCCAGGATTCCAACCATGGATCGTCTGTGTTCTACAGCACGTCGCTTGCCAGTACATCACTTCCGCTCCTATTAATGACAGGGAATAAGAGCAATTATGATGGTAACACTATTAATGTTAGTATTTAAACCAATATTAACTATTAGAATGAATGGATCAATGGAGAATGTTGGTACGTATACTTTCATAATAGAGTGAGCAAATGATCTATTGGGTAGAAAAAAATTATAATTTTAGGAAACGATTTTTCGAATCACCTCTTTCAGAAGATGCTCGGAGGTTTCAATGCTTATTATTTGATGTATATTACAGGTATGGGCGGAGGTGGCGTAGTGACAAGTAGCACACTTCACACACACATGGTCACGGGTTGGACTCCCGGATCGATTTCCACCTAAGCCAACCGAGCCTTCTTCGAGGTCGATGAATTGGTACAAGACTCGTCCGGGAGGATAAAAGCACTGACCTGTACATCGGCTGGCCATCGCAAGTCATGGTATAGGCCACATACGCACTCATTACGCCACTACTTCTGAATGGGAGTCTAGTGCGGGGACGCATCCCTCAGACGGGAATGATTACCGCCAAAATTTTAATCCTCTTATGTTAAGGGTATTTGTTTGTACTTTCTTAGGAGAACAAATTGAACAAAGTTCATTTTCACTGGTAAATTCAGGATCGGTTTGAATATGGTGCGTCATATAGAACATTCTCGGAACGTGTTGCTGCTGTTTACCATGATACATGTAAAACATAAGCTGACAATGTCTTACCCCACATGCAAAAATCGATTTACAACTTTTTCTCAACAATTTTCACTCTAAAGTGGGCTGACTAGCAGGAATGGTTGACGATTTTGTTATGGTATTAACCGAAGCCAGCACTCATTACCACTGCAAGAATTCACTGAGAAGACCAGCGCATTCATGGGAGTAGTTAAGGAGAATATTTAAGAACTTGGACTAATGAAAAAGCCAGGTGTACAGGTGTCACATGAGTTGAGGGAGAGTTTGTGCCTGCGCTCCCAACCCAATGAAAACCACCCATTTATGGACCGAATAGCGGCTTTTGATGAAGTTAGGAGTGTTTACGATAATGTTACCTTAAGCGAACATGGTCAATGCCGAACAAACTTCCTCAGAAGAGGTCCGAAACTGACCTTCATCAAAAGAATTTCACGTTATGTGCCAGTATGATGGGACGGCAATGGGTGTGAGATAACTTGAAGTGCTTCGAAGGAATCAGGACAGTTTCTCAAATAACTACTTATTAGAATTTGATGAAGCAATTGGAAGAACGACGAGGCTAGACCGTTTAGATGTTTGGTGACCCGGAGCTTTCTGAGGAAAAATTCTCGAAGCTTTATTGAGAGCTAATGTTCCGTCCACTATATAGCCCTGATCTTGTGACATCCGCCTTCCTCTTATTTACATTTATTTGCCGTTGCAGGAACCCTTAAATTAGAAAACTTTAGTCAAAGACGATGATATCAAATCTTATGGGGTCCAGTCGCCGGCAAAAAAAATCTGAAGTTTTACGAGAAAGAAGCTATGTTGGGTGTATATCCTTGATTAAGGTTTGTTTAATGTAAGGGAAAAATATTTTTGTGAAACGCTCCAAAACCCCAGTCACTTTTCAAACAATCTAACAGTAGCGGTAGGTATGAAAACGCAGTAGAAGGTGATCTAGAACGCAACATGCAATAGGTTATGGAGGGTCTAGCTGCCAGGAGCGGACCTCAATAGATTCCTTTCAGCACTACTTTTACTGAACTAAAAATCCCTAAACTGTTAAAAGGTATTTATTATGGCATTCGATTACTGCAAGATAAGATAGGCCTCATCCAACACGTTCAGCCTATTCAGCCCAGGCCAATCTTATCATATAGCAAACTGAGATCAAACAAAAACGAATTTCGCAAGTTTCTTGAAAGGGTTTGGAGAAGGTAGGTTCAGACAAGTAGGCAGACCGATGAGGGATCAAGTAATGGAAGTGTGGGTGTGGTTATGTGCCATCTGCGGAGGCTTATTCTGACGCTTATTACAAGCCGACTAGTATGTGCTAACGAGATGATCAGACAACGTTCATAACTGCAGTGAATCAATTATGTAATTGTTAATCTAAGCAGTGGTAAACAGAAGCCAACATGCTTGTCAGATTTCCTCTAATGATGAACCGTAACTTTGGGCTGCACTAGTTTTCATTGCCCCAGTGTGGACATCCCTTCTCTTTGGCTATTTATTCAATCCGAATTACAAAAGGGCACAACGATGTCGATTGAGCATATCGATCTGAAAGCTTTCATGTAAGGCTAAAGCAGTGTAGTGGCAAGTGGCACTTTATTAAACACACATGGTCACAGTTCGAATCCCGGGCCGATATCTGTCTAGGCCTACCAAGCCTTCCATCCCCACGGGGTTGTATGGTTGGTACCAGAATCGCCTGGGAAGATAAAAGCAGTGACTGTACATCGGCTGTCCACCTCAAGCCTGGTCACTTACACATTCAACACGCCACTACGATTTTGAATGAAAGTCGAATGCGGCGGCGCACCCCTGGACGGGATTGATCGAAGCTCAAAGACTGCAAAGACTTGAACCTTCAGCATAGAGATTTCAAGTTTAGACAACTGACGGGAAGACGTGATTTTGAAGGAATCAGAAGGACAAGACATCGAGTTTCAAGGGAAGTGGCGACAAGTAACATGAGCATCGGAATCTTTGATTAGGCGGAAANAAAGAAACGTCTTTTACGAACCTATTCAAAGAGCATAGGAGCATTGAAGACAAGATCGGCTTGGCTTTGCGAACTGAGGCGGATACCCATGGCAATTAATCGTTCAGGAGCTGTGTGCTTTTTAACAGGAATAGATAAGACAGCAACAGGGCCTCACTTTTGATATACGTATGTGAAGTGGATTAAGAAAGTGAAGCCTCGAAGTAATATGCTTGGCTTATCATTCGTACAGTGTTATTACAACGATGCTAGTCTCCATACCTGAAATCTTACTATAATATATGAGAAGAAGCTCAATGATTGCTCTGCGAGTGAAAGCCTACACAAC